AAATATTTAATGTACAGATTAGGCTTAGTTACAATTTTATTGTATGTATAGGTAAATTCTATTCATATATGTTTTCCTCTAATTTTCAATAAGTAACTCATGTGCTAGTTCAAGTCAAAGTCTTTTTGTTTCATTTCATTCAAATAGTCATTCATTTCAGCGTAAATGTGTAACAAACACATACAAACTATCGCATTTATAATATTAGTATGATTAGCACGAAGTACCACGACGCATGTCACTGGTTCAAACTCCCGTACCAAGTCAAGGTCAAGATATTTAAGCTTCAGTCTTGTGTATTTAGGAACCTCAACCTTTAAAGACTAGACATAAAAAAGTGTTTTCTTTTTTAAATATATAATCATTTAAAACAATTTTTGTTCGTCCGATGAAGTGGATAACAACAAAACTCGTCAATAGCTATTAAACAAAAATAAAAACTTTAAAAAAATAAATTAAAACCGACTTCCAGGCACTAAAATGTAAAAAGTAACTAAACGGAGAACCTCCTCCTTTTTTTGGGAAGTCGGTTAAAAAGAAAATCGGTTGACAAACAGATGAGAGAAAGATTTGATCTGTTTTGTCTTAACTTTTTAAAAGATTATATATCAATTTCCGTAATCTTATTACTAAATATGTAAATGCTAAAGTTTGGATGTATGGATGTTTGTTACTCAATCACGCCAGAACGGCTGAACAGATCTGGATGAAACTTGGCACAGAAATAGATTATAGTCTGAAATAGCACATAGGCTACTTTTTATCCCGGAAAAATGTATGGTTCCCGTGGGATAGATTTGCTTTTGTTTTTTAATAGGGAGGGTGAGCTGCTAGTAAATTATAGAAGATCTAGAACAATGAAATGACAATGTAATAAAATAACTGTATATTTAACTAAGGAATAGGGCGTTCATTCGGAAAGTTTCGGCTATCTCAAGAGAATTCATTTACGCTAGTTTCAAATACCTTATCAATCTGAAATTTTCCTTACTATAAATAGAAACTTGACGTAAGCTCTGTACAAATTATGTCAAATTAGTATCGCTTGTAAGGGAAACTGAAGATAGATGGGTTGTTGGGAACCTCTTTTAGTGCGTGAGGTTAGTAATCTGTATATTATGCATATAATAAAACTAGATAAACTGAACCAAATCTATTCCACGGGAAATGTACATTTTTCCGGAATAAAAAGTAGCCTATTTGTTATTTTGATGTCTGAACTATATTATTGTAAAGTTTCATTAAAATCCAATCAGTAGTTTTTGTGTACTAAGCTGTATAAGTTACCATAGTTTTTTCACTATCCCACGTGAACTCTTTAATTTTCCGGGATGTAAAGTATTTAAAATGTTGACCGAAGAGATAGGGTACCACTATGCAAAATTTCATTTAAATCGGTCTAAAAGTTTTGGAGATTAGCCCGTACAAACAGACAAACAGATGGAGAAAAATTTTTTTGAAAATTCTGGATTTGTTCTATTTCTCTTCTTACATCTCCCTGACTCGGTTTTTAGCATTTTTTTTACTATGTACACTATGACATTCGACCTCTAAAGTTTTATTATATATAATATATATTTTATTATATATAATATATATAATATATATAATAAAACTTTAGAAGTCGAATTTATTTATTTAAAATATAATACTAGCATTGCCCGCGGCTCCGCCCGCGTTCAGATTACCAAAAACCAAATTCTTAGACTCTACATATTAATTATACTCTTAAAATGAAGTTTTTTGTATTTTTTCTCAGAAATGAGATATTTTCCCGCGGTAAAAAGTATCCTATATGTTGACCCGGATAACCAGCTATCATCATACCAAATTTCATCAAAATCTGTCCAGTGGTTTTCTGTGATGCGGTAACAGACAGACAGGCAGACAGACAGACAAAAATTCTAAAAACTATAGATTCGGACTGTATCGATAATAATGTGTATTTCAATTAGATTTTCCAAAAAATATTTAATGTACAGATTCGACTTTGTTACAATTTTATTATATGTATGGATATCTAACTCTATCGACTACTAGAACTTACGTTTCAACGTTTAGTATAGATTTCTCAGAGATGAGATATTTTCCCGCAGTAAAAAGTATCCTATATGTTGACCCGGATAACCAGCTATTATCGTACCAAATTTCATCGGGATGCGGTAACAGACAGACAGACAAAAATTCTAAAAAGTATAGATTCGGCCTCTGTATGGATAAAAAAGGCTATGTCCTTCGAGACATCCAACACCTCAGTCTCTCCCGTGACCATGATTGCTGTAAAGCATTCGAAACGTCGGGAACCAAAAATCAAAATAAATCCGCGAAATTATCCGAAAAGATAGTTTTATTTAAAATGACAAATATTCGCGTAAATCTAAGAAAGTATTAAAGTCTATGTCAATAAGATTTTCCAAAAAAATATTTTATGTACAGATTCGACTCAGAATTTTATTATATTTAAAGACTGGCATTGCCCGCGGCGATGATTTTCAAAATTAAAAGTAGCCTATATCCTTCCCAGGGTCTCAAACTATCTTCTTACCAAATTTCATCTAAATCGGTTAAGTAGATCCAGAGTTTACCCCCTACAACGTCACAAATTAACAAACTGTACCTCTTTATAATATTAGTATAGATGCACACATGAATATAATTATATATAGACAAATAACTACTTAGAGAGTTATTTTTAAATATTTTATTTATTTTTTAATTTTAGTCAAATGGCGACGCCACAAAAGTCGTAGGATTCCCTTTCCTACTTATGAAAGCGGGAAAATATCCCATATATCTTATTCCCATGGGAACACATAATGTAATCCTGACATACGAAATTTTGACTGATACAGGTTTTATTTGTACATATAATAAAATTGTAACTAAGCCGAATCTGTACATAAATATTTTCTTGAAAAATCTTATTGAAATAAACATTATTATCGATACAGAGGCCGAATCTATAGTTTTTAGAATTTTTGTCTGTCTGTTACCGCATCACGGAAAAACCACAGGAGGGATTTTGATGAAATTTGGTATGGTGATAGCTGGTTATCCGGGTCAATATATAGGATACTTTTTACCCCGGGAAAATATCTCATTTTTGAGAAAAAATACAAAAACTGCAATGTAAGAATATACTAATATGTAAAACCTAAGAATTTGGTTTTTGGTCATCTGAACGCGGGCGGAGCCGCGGGAATGCTAGTCACATTATATAGAAATATCTTTGATATTCATGTGCGAATTATTTTCAACATGACTACCACCTGTTCTGTGGGTACTGGGAACCTGCATGTCTGAGAGAACCTGACAAGTTTTCATAAGACATATTACATGACATTTTTCCGCCCCACACTTGGGCAGCGTGGTGAACTATAGCCTGATACCCCTCGTATTGAAGGGAGGCCCACCCCCAGCAGTGGGACGTCGAAAAAGGGGTAGATTCAATACATTGAAAGTTTGAAAGTAAGGAAGTATAGATAGCAGTATATGTTGCAGGAAGTAGTACTAATTTGCCATTATAATAATTGTGCCATCAGTTTTGGACGTTTGCAGATTTGTCAAATGCTGAAGGATAATTGATGACTCTTGTAATGCTTACTCATTTCAACACGCCAAAATGTGTTAGGGTAACTATATATTGAAGCGTGATAAGAAAATTATTCATACTTTAGTAGGTATCAAAGGTGTTATTTTGTGTGTATTTTAAGTTAATTTCATACGCCTAACTCATATTTAGAGGCAGTGGTAGGGGTAGCCCAGTGGTAACACGCTCGCTTGGGAAATCGAGTGAAGCGAGTTCAAAACCCGGCTCTCGCACCTCTGATATTTTCATGTGCGAATCATTTCCAACATGATTACCACTTGTCTTGACGGTGAAGTAAAACATCGTGAGGAAACCTGCATGTCTTAAAGAACTTAGCAAGTTTTCGAAAGACATGTGAAGTCCGCCCGCACTTGACCAGCGTGGTGGACTATGGCCTGATCCTCTTCGTACTGAAGGGAGGCTCACCCCCAGCAATGGGACGTTAAAAAGGGCTGAATACAACTCATATTTATGTTATTCTAGTTATGTTTTTCAACTGAGGGGTGTGAAACAATTGAGTCCTCTTAAGCATGAGGGTTTTCTGTGAAAATGTCTTGAGGTAGACGCTCTATGCCACTTTTTGTAAATATTATGAATTTAATATAAATGTAAATATGATACTTTCTTAGATTTACGCGAATACTTGACATTTAAAATAAAACTATCTTTTCGGATTATTTCGCGAATTTATTTTGATTTTTATTTCCCGAGGTTTCGAATGCTTTACAGCAATCATGGTCACGGGAGAGACTGAGGTGTTAGATGTCTCTAAGGTATTATATAGTTGTTACAGACAGCCTACCCACAATTAACAAAATGAATTAATTTTGTCGTCGGGAACCAAAAATCAAGCAAAAAAAATTTCAAATCGGATTAGAAGTTCCTGAGATTACCGCGTTCAAACAAATAAACTCTACCTCTTTATAATATTAGTGTAGATAAAAATGAGTATGTTAAAACAAAATATACATTTTAGGTAATGTATTAACCCTCGATGTGCGAGTCAGACTTGCACTAGCTCGTTTGTTATTTATAGTATTCAAGTTAGATTCAAACCAGATGGTGCCAGATACTATTCTGTGAAAGCTAGGGCGAGACGTTAGCAAACTCTGAAGTAAATAAGAATTCGAATAATATAAAAATTGGGATATTAGTATAATTCTCAAATAAGCTTTAAGATATTTTATATTACACGCAAAATTTTACCTGTAGTGTGTTATTTTACTTTTTTTCTCTCGGCTGACTTGTTCAGTCTAACTGTACAGGCTTAACTGTGGAGGTATGTTATGTTTAAATGGACTATAAATACGAAATTTTGTAAGTAAATAAATAATTTACAGATATTTCGATAAATTTTAAAATGTAGATTATTAATTAAACTAATAAATCGCTAAAAACTAGAAAAAATTACCTTCAAATTCTTTATCTAACGCATGCCCGCTCGAGCCTCCACTCGGGCCAGGCTTAGACCCGTCTCGCATTTCACTTCACTTCACTTATCATTAATAACTAAACACTTGCTATTTACACTAACACTTTGAATCACACTTCACTGTACACTTTCACTAATAAATTATCTATAATTAAGCATTGACATCATAACGTCACTTTGACAGTGACATTGACGTTTTCCATTCAGCCTGTTTTATCTGTAACAATAAAATTGTTTGTTATTTATGTATTTATTTTAATAAAAAAATATATCTAAATATAAAAAAGGTAGTTTTGACAAGTCTTAAAAAATAAAATGCATTTTGATTACATATTACAATCGAAACTCAACAACAGATGATACTAGCCTTACTAGTGTATGATATTCAAACATAATATGAAACCAAAACCAAACCAAAACATTACTCTCCTTTTCGATCAGTCGGATAAAAAGTAAAATCACAAAATAATTCTAATTCATAATAACTCGCTAACTCGTTAGGCACAAGAAAAGTTTGTTTTGTGTACCGTCAGCAAATAAAGTTGTTGCTGTTCAAATAAACTCTACACAAATATACTACCACTCTACACTTGTAAAGGGGATTTTTAAGTGCAATTTTTTTTTAAATTATGGCGCTTGGGAGTTAGTTTTGTTAATGTTTCAAATAAACTCAACTACCTGAATTTATTTAATTATTTATTTATTTATTTTGGAAACAAACAGTATTAACAAAAAATATAAAATAGAAATTAATTAACAAAACTTAACCAATAACAGTTTCTAATGTTACTGAAATACATATATCAAAGTAAGATGCAAAACATAATTAAATGAATAATATTAAATGAAACAAAAATTTAACAAGTTTAACAAAAATTTTAACAAATTTAAAAAACAAATATATTTTTATTAACTGTTTATTACGAAGAGATTGCTGAAATTCCTGGAGGAACTGGGTTGGCAAGAGTAACACGAATGAATAATTTCTCACAAACGCAAAATGCACAGACGTCGAGTTTCGGAAACAAGGCCAAATATACCATAACATACCACACTCTATATTTTTGTTAGATAAACAGTTTTTAAAAAAAATCACTGGGAACTTTCGAGGTCATTAAAGCCACTATATATGTGTATATATATGTCGGGACATTAACACACAACACTATCTAGTACCATGGTAAGCTACGAGGCTTGTGTTATGGATACACGACTGAAGTACAAACATTCATGCTTATCACACAAATCTATGCCCCCAGCGGGACTCGAACCCACGACTGCTGGCACAGAAAGTAGGGTCACTACAAACTGAACCAAATGTGTCGTCAAACTATTTAAGTACTGACGGACTGATATATGGAAGAAATATTGTTTTGAGGTAAAAATTGATAATGACGTATTTTAAATCAATAATAATTTTTTTTTTAAATAAAAGGCTTTAATTATATCAAAATCGTTTTTTGGGTGGAATATTTTGAGATTCGTATGAGAAGAAGTATTAAGTAGAGAAACTTACGCGTTCGTATACTATAGTCTACTACAGTATACTAATCCATATAGTCGTCCTAACGATGGCAATGTTCGAGGCGTACAGAGGGAGAAGCGAGAGGGGTGCTCCCGATTGTCATATAATATTGTATATGACAATTTTATCTCCTTTAAGAGCAAAGACCACCTACTTTGAATATGGATTTTATACAGTGAGAATACTTGATTTTTTGCGAAATCGAACCCGCAATATCAAGCGTTGTCAGCATGCCCATTCATATAGATACATGTCAAATGCACCATGTCAAAGCTGAAGTTCATAAAAATTTTACTACACTTTTATATTTATTAAAAGACATCAACTTTTTAATGACTAGAAATGAATCCCTCTTAATGAGTAGTTTTAAAAGACTGCTTTTGCCTACGGTTTTGATCGCGTGTATTTCATTTCACTTTAAAACTATTAAAAGGTTTTCTTTTGAAGTTTTACTTCTTTCGGCACGTTTGGAAAAAAATTATGAGAGTAAAATTTTTTCGATGCGCGCGCCCACCAACAGCCAAAAAGCGACATAATGAAGTCAGCTGCATTCCTTATACAAACAGAGAGCTGTGACATACGGGATGAAATCTTTAGCTATTTTTGTTCTGTTACGCCAAAGAATTTTGTTCTCTCTTTATTATATTCATATAGACTTCATGTACAAAGTTAATGTTTCTAATAAATGGCATTTTTGAGTAGGTTTAAATCGATTTCTGAGATAATTACATACTAGCGACTTACCCTTACTTCACTCGGATGCATCGCTAGGTACGTTTTAAATTTTTTTTGAGCAGCACTCTAATTCTTTTTCTAAAATAAAAGTTGCCTATATTATTCCTTACAACATCACCTATCTGCCAGTGAAAGTCCCGTTAAAATCGGTCCAGCCATGTAAGAGATTAGGCGGAACAAACAGACGGACAAAATGTTAAAAGTCGTTATTTGCTTATATATATGTACCGTATATAATTTAATATGCGTTTAGTAGAAAGCTGTTACTTTGACATTACAAACAGACACTTTAATATTATTTATCTGTATAAATGTACAGATAAAGGTAATGGGTTAGTTAGGTACTAGTGAAGCTAAAAGCGTATTAAAATGTCTCATTACAATAATTATTCTGAGTAATTCGTAATTGAAAACTGATAAATAAACCAACATACAAAATCTATATGACATGGGTTCTACGTATCAAACATCTTTTAAGTACAATTAATTATAATATTAATATAATTATTAAAAAAAAAAATTCGATTCCGATATTTTTTTTTCTATCGTTACATTCATCGCTTGGTAAAAGTTTTGACAGGCGATAAATCATTGCCATCTATGCCTCTGATATATGTTTGTTACATCTCATACATGCGTTGTTATTTTTTCTTACTAGCGATTTAATCTCGCTTCGCTCGGGTACGTTCCTGCCTTTTCTATTTATAATAATTGATCGACTAAACGAAGCGTCTCTGCTTCAAGTATGGCAACTTTACTCTGTCAGTTTGCTTGTACTCCTCTGCAGGTCATATTTTAAAATCGTTTTGAACGATACTTGAACATGTTGTACGATTTATAGATTTTTTTTGCCGTCGGTATTTTTGATTGGATTCTCCAAAAAGGTGCTAATATGAAACTACTGGATATCTCCTCTTTAAGAGATCCGATACACACAGTACAATCATCAATTTATTACACAAACACATAAAAAATATTTTTTGAATAAAAATATGATTCTGATTATAAAATTGCTTTAATTAAAAAATCTCTTTACGCCTTACTCTAAAAGTTATAAAGAAATTTTACTTTATGTTTATGAAAAAAAAGATTCTTAAAAACAAGTCCGGCACCATATTCAGGTCCTCGTCATAATGTGTAATTGAAAGTATTTCTAATAACAAACCATACTAGCCCAAATTCGGCTATTCTACTATATACTATCAGGGAGTTCCAGTCTCTACATCCCGGAGCCATCATCGTCAGCCCGATGGTGCCGTAATATTTCATTACCATCGAAATTACATAATGACTAAACTACATTATGACGACACGTTTGGCTCAGTTTGTAGTGACCTTACTTCCTATGCCAGCGGTCGCGGGATCGAGTCCCGCTGGGGGCATTCATTTGTGTGATAAACACGAATGTTTGTACTCCAGTCATGGGTGTTTATATTTATAATATGTATGTATTTAAAGTTATATATGTGTAGTGTATCAACTATCTGGAATCTATAACAGAAGCCTCGTAGCTTACCATGGAACTAGATAGATGGTGTTGTGTGAATGAGTGAGTGAAAATAAAATATTCATTAATAATTATCGAAAGAGAGACCGAATCTATAGTTTTTAGAATTTTTATCAGTCTATCTGTTTATCTGTCTGGGAATGCATCACGAAAACCACTAAACAGATTTTGATGAAATTTGGTATGATGATAGCTGGTTATCCGGGTCAATATATCGGATACTTTTTACTGCGGGAAAATATCTCATTTCTGAGAAACCTATATTAACCGTTCAAAAGTACCTGGGGACGAACCTGAGCGGAGCGAGGGTGAGTTACATATAAATAGCTAAATCTGAAAAAAAATCTCATTTTAACTTGGTCTTATTTCAAAAATGTGGGTTTTGCCATTAACACTAAGAGTCCGAAAAAACCTTTAAAACACATCTATACATTACAAACTATTCTCCTAATTCTCATCAAAACCGCTTTAGCAAATGACGTGTGAAAATGGACCAAATTACGTTTACGTCACATTTACTAAGGAAAAGAGTGCGGAAAGTTTTCTTTTAGTATTTTCTTTACATTTTATGCGTCGTGCAAACAAACAGGTGCTGTAAATGGTTAGGCGTGTAAATCAAGGGAAATGGTGGAAATGTGTTTTCTTTAGTGATGTTCTTATATTTTTATTTATATCGAAATTGTGGATATAAAAAAAAGAAATACGCTTTTGACCGATTACTGCAATGTATTAAATTTGTTACAACAACAATGAACCCAAACTAGAAGGAATTTTGTTCAATATTTTAGAAATTTATATATTACTTTGTGTATATAGTTTTGTATGCCACGCGTAATGTGGGATTCCGTAGTTGTCCATCACAATAATGTGGACTTAGAGAAAAGCTTGTCGGCGAGACTAATATGTATATGCATGCCAGATTACAGCTATTTAGTACTAAGAGTCTGTGAGCCAACCTACGGACAGACCGACGGACGGACAGTTTGGAACTATAAGGGTTTCTTGTTAACTACGGAAGTATCTGTAAACTATCTATCGAGATTCTTTTTTATTTGTTTTTCGATGGAGTATTTCAAACTTAACGCGTTATAAAGCGAGGGTATGTATACACAGTCGAATTTCTGGATAGTTGTTAAACTAAAATATTTATCTAACTTTTTATTTATAAAAGACTAGCATTGCCCTCGGCTCCGCCCGCGTTCAGATGATCAAAAATCAAATTCTTCGGTTTTACATATTAGTATACTCTTACATTGTAGTTTTGAATTTTTCTCAGAAATGA